TCTTCTTCTTTTTTCTTCATGTCGACAATACTTCAGAGAATCATTTCTATAGTATTCGACCTACTCTTGGTTCCCTAAAGGAGCTACAGATCCCACCCTGGTTGATGATTGATATCCTCGATACCCTAGAGTGATAACTCTTGGTTGTTCTCGAACCCTCCGTAAAGGAGGGCGGACAGGCTTTTGCTTTTGTCTGTATAGAGAACGGTGATGATCTCGTCCCCTGTTCGCGGTCTTGCCCTTGGGCGCGCGGGAGGGGTGGGCATCGATGGACGTCTGACAGGCTCTTTTTGTTTTCATTACGTGCGGGAGCATGGCTCTAGTCGTGAAGAAGACATGTTCACGTGTGTATGGAAGGAAGGAGGAAAGGTAGGAGTGGAAGATTGGGAGGACATTCATAGATCAATCGTATTTCATACGCCTAAAATCCAGAACCATTCTGTTGATATACAACCAGGCCCAAAAATGCTCTAACTAAAATACAAGTTTCATCATCAATCTTTAAGAACCCGTCCGTCGTCACCCATTTACTCGGCAACCCAGACGGCGCTCATGCCCATACCGGTACCGATACACATGGACGTGTTGCCAATCTTCTTACCCGTCCGCTTGAGCTCGTACAGCAGCGTCGAGATCTGCCTAGCGCCAGTGCAGCCCAGCGGGTGACCGAAAGCGATGGCGCCGCCCTTGGGGTTGACCTTCTCGAACGGGATGCCGAGCTGCTCGGCGCTCCATAGGCACTGCGACGCGAACGCCTCGTTGATCTCGTAAATGTCGACGTCCTCGGTCGCGATGCCGGCCTTGGCGTTAGCGACGGGGATAGCCTTGGCGGGGCCCTGACCCATGAGCAGCGGCGGCAGGCCGACGATGGCGGCGGAGACGAACTTGCCGAGGATGGGCTGGCCGAGGCGCTCGGCGGTCGAGCGCTTCATAAAGAGCACGGCGGCGGCGCCGTCAGAGACCTGGGAGGCGTTACCGGCGTGGATGCCGCCGTCCTTTGCAAAGGCGGGCTTGATCTTGCCCAGGGACTCGGCGGTGACGCCGGCGCGGATGCCGTCGTCCTTTGCGACGGTGATCTCCTTGGTCTCGCCCGACTTGGGGTCCTCCCACTTGACCTTGAGCGGGGTGATTTCCTGGTCAAAGAGACCCTCGGCCTGGGCCTTGGTGGCCTTGGCGTACGAGGAGGCGGCGAAGGCGTCCTGCTTGGTGCGGGGGATACCGAGGTCCTGGGCCATGTTCTCGGAGAGAACACCCATGGGGACCTTGCAATTTGCGGCCTCGGGGGTGTTTTCGAGGAGCTCAGAGAACTCGGAGACGGCGGCTGGGCTGTGTGAGATAAAGGTGTCAGTTTACTGATAGTATGGAAACGTGGGGGTGAAGGAGGGCGACATACCCGTATTGCGTTGACATGCTCTCGACGCCGGCGCCGATACCGACCTCAATCATGCCGGTCTTGATCGCGTTGATAATGTCCACGGAGGCCTGCAGACCAGAGGAGCACTGGCGGTTGAGAGTGCGCACGGCAGTGGTCTGGGGGAAGCCGGCGACGAGGGCAGCAGCACGCATCTCGGTGGCGCCGCCGCCGGGGGCCAGGACGGTGCCGACGGCGATATCCTCGACGAGGGCGGGGTCGATCTTGGAGCGGTCGAGGAGGGCCTTGAGGGTGCCTGCCATCAGGTCGGCGGCCTGGGTGTCCTTGAAGCCACCCTTGCCACCCTTGGTGAAGGGAGTTCGGAGGGCTGCGGTGACGACGACCTGCAGGGGAATACGATTAGACAAGCATGTTCTGTGATAGTCTGGACGGAGAGCGGTCGGGAGCTTACATCGTCAGCGTTCTTCTGGAGGATCTTGTCCTTGCCGCCAGCGGAGAACTGGCCGCCAAGCTGAGTCAATCTCTCGAGGGCTTTTTTGAGCGGCGTGGTTAGTAAAAGAGGCGAAGTGGTCACGCGCGGAGTGTTGCTTGCTACTTACCACCCATTGTGATAGATATGAAGCTTCGAAAATAGAAATGGGAGGGTATATAGATGGGTCAGACAGATGAACAGATGAGATTGAAAAGAGGAAATGTAGGTGGAACAAGTATATCAATACAGAAGTGTGTAGGGGGAACTGTGACGGACAAGCTATACGTCTGGTTCGGATCTCAGATGGGACAATGAGCCTCGGATGTTCTCAAAAACGGGTCTCTGACAAAGGAGCAGCAGGGTACTTGGTACTCCGTACACCTTGAAAGAGCTGGCTGATGTCAGCTGGGGGTCATTCAGCGCTGCACCTTTCTGTAGCAGCAGCAGCAGTAGGTCCAGCAACCAAAAAAAACCGGCCGAGGCATCCAAATTCCAGCGATCACACCGCATTGGTTGCGAAACTCCGGGGCCCGAACCCCACCCTTTTTCTCTGGAGAAGGCGCGGAAAGGTATCCGTTTCTCACCTAGCAGCCATTTTCACATGCTCGCTTCTTCCCCACCGAAGCGGTAGCAGGTGCTGTTTCTGGCTGTTGGTGCGCTGCGACAGCAACCTTGGTCCCCACGTTCTCCCGCCTCCCCCCGTACTTTTTTTTCTTGGTGCTACATACTGCTGCCAGGACCAACTTTTGCGGGGGGATTGGCACGACTGCGGTGGGACAGCCGCCAATAGCTTGCGTCACAAGCACTTTGCGGCGGCCCAGGTGATCACCGTCCCGTCCTCCTACCATTCTTCTCTCGCATTCTCCATCTTAGCTTTCTTAGGGCGTCACGGGACCTATGACGGCTTATGATACCTAGATGCGAGGCTGGTGAGCTTGAAAGCCACCCTTTGGTGCTTTGTCCGTCGAGGTGGAACACGTGCTGGCTTGGCTTGGCTCGAGTAGCAACCTTCTTTTTTCCCATGTGAAGATGCACCGCGAGTCAATCCCAAAAATCTCAAGCTCAAACCAATAGGATGATGGTTTCATCCACATGGGAATCCCAGCCTCGATTCAACCTACGTATGTGCCTACTCCTTCAGTGAAGGGACAAACAGCTGGGGAAAAGATATATCGTGGCTTTGTAGGATCATCATAATACAAGGTCATTGTTCTACATATCTGTAGATGTCTCTCTCTCTCTTCCGACTGAACGTCTGTATAGTCTCTCTCCTTCTACAACTTGGCCGCCGGCTTAATCAACGCCAGCCTCGCCTTTAGCGCCGCCTCGGCCTCCTTCTCTATTCTAGGAACCAAGTCCTTGACCGACGGGATATCGTGAATCAACCCAATAACTTGTCCGGCCGTCCAAACCTGAAGCAGAAAACCGTCAGCTCGATACTCAAACCTTGTGAAATGTCGTGAGAGTAGAAGTAAAGGAATATACTCACGCCATAGTCCGGATCACCCGTGACAAAAACCTCCTTGCCCCTCTTGCCGCTCACGAGCGGCGCAATCTCGGAAAACTCGCCCGACGTGCTCTGCTCCTCAATCTTGATCGCCTCCTCCGTGACCTTGTTCTTGTACAGCCGCGTCGTGTTCCTCCACCGCCGCAGCAGCAGCGCCGTGTCCGTCTCCTGCGCTTTCACAATCTCCTCCTTGATCTTGTGGTGGATCGGCGCCTCCAGCGTGCACATGAACCGCGTGCCCATGTTGACGCCCACCGCGCCCAGGCACAGCGCCGCCGCCAGCCCCTCCCCGTCCGCGAACCCGCCGCTCGCGATGAACGGCACTTTCAGCGACTGCCGCGCCCGCGAGAGGAGGATAAAGTTGGTAATGTCCGACTCGCCGACGTGGCCCGCGCACTCGAAGCCGTCGATACTGAGGAAATCGACGCCGAGCTTGACGGCGCTCTGCGCGTGGCGGATCGTGGTGCACTTGTGCAGGATCGTGACGCCCGCGGCCTTGAGCTGCTTGATGACGGGACCCGGCGAGTTGCCGGCCGTCTCGACGATCTTGATGCCCTCGTCGATGACGACCTGAGCGTAGGCGGCGTAGTCTGGGGGTACTAGGGCCGGTAGAAGGGTGATGTTGACGGCAAAGGGGTACTTTGTCAGCGTCTTGCAGCGCTGGATCTCCTTGCGCAGCTCCTCGGGGGTCGGGAAGATGAGGGCGGTGATGATACCCAGCGCGCCGGCGTTGGAGACGGCCGAGGCGAGGTCGGCTGTGCCGACGTGCTGCATGCCGCCTTGGACGATGGGTACTGCGAGGCGGACGAGAGCGTGTCAGCGATGAGTTGTCCTCTCTGGTACTTTACCCGGCAAAGGGTTTAGGATGCGCGCCATAGTGACGCCTGCGGATGTGATATGTCGTGCGTCTTCTCGCAAGCCCTGCTCTGACGTACCTTTGATACCCAACCGTCGGGTCAGCTCAGTGTCGAAAGGCATGTTGGGCAATCGGGACGTTTTCTTTCTCTATTCGATTCGATTCAATTTCGATCCAAACTGTTGTGTTACGTGAATAGACAGGTTGAGTAACGAGGGCGACAACAAGAACGAGGTAACAGAAAAAAGGAGACAACAAACTTCTAAAGCTTCTAGTCTAGATGGTGTAGAATGCAGACGTGATAATAAAAAGGGACAGAGTGGTGATTCTGACGGCAGTTTGGCTGACTCGGTCTGGCCGGTCAAAGGACGACGGCTGCTCAGCCCCCCGATCGGTACCTTGGGACAGTGGGGACGTACCGAGGTAACTCGGCCTCCACCAATCTTCTCCCCCGCGTTTCCAGGTGCCAGGCCTTTTTTCGATTAGAGCGAACATGGGGAAACACGGCCGACCCCATTCGTGCCGTTCCTCTCTCACATGGCCAGACGCCGTCTTTCCGCCGTCCACGGGACTATTTCCGTAACCAGAAGGCTTCATCCCTGACACCGGCCAGTCTGACTTCACTCACTTTCTTCATATTCTGACAAAGAACGCAGCAAGCACACTGTATTTCCGTCCTTGACATACTGAATCATCAAGGAGGGTCGCACAGCAACTCTTCGCAGGCCAGCCCAGTAAACAGACGCGCAGCACGGCGCATCCACCTCTCAGTTTCTCTGGATTCAGCCTTCCGTGAACCCCCCATGGCGTATCATCTGTGACGCTGCGCTTCCAATCATATTGGATCTCATCGGTCGATAATCAGGGCTTCCGAGGGCCGCATACTGGACTCCGGGGTATCTCGATACCTGACTGCCCGTTGGTCAGCAAGCACACCATCTAAAGACGATTGGATGTTCGTGCCCGATATCGACAGCGCCCCATTTCTCTCTCATCTGGCGGCTCTTTGAGGCGTTGGTGTCACAGCGTCCAGACTACGTGATGCGAAACCAACCTCGAGGGACGTCTTAGGCATATGATAGTCGCCGTCCGCAACTTGATTCAATCACAGGAACAGTGTCTGACGTGGAGTGCATGATGCAGAATAGGACGTCGATGGCTGATGATGGGTTTGACAACACAGCTTGCCCTGAGTAAAAGCTCAAGTGCAACCCTCGAGATAGACCATACGGACTCCGGCATGTCCTTTACACACGGAAGGTCTCCTACAGCGGAACCGGAGATTTTTGACACGACAGTCTCGGGTTGCCATCCGTTTGTCGGCGAAACTATTAAGCCCACCTCAAACTTTCTGGATGACAAACACTGCCAAGGGCTACTGAGCTTGATCCCACATGGCCTCATGACTACGTAGAAACCTACATAGAGACGTCTCGCTTGTGATCCACCAAGCAGATGGCGGCGAGCCATGCTGCCGGTGTTATCTAGCAGCACAAGATTGTTCGTGTGTGATACCTTATCACCTCCGTTGCCAGGACTGCTCATTTGCCCTTTCCCGCTGCATGTCGTCTTCTCTATTCGCAGGGCCGGTGTAGTATGTATTATCACGCTACCGGAGTCGCCATCAACGCTCGTTCTCGTCCGCCTGATGTGTGCCTAAGAATGTCAATATAGACCTCGATGAGCATTGCTACGTCTGGGCTCGGATTCCGTTCGTGGCCTGACTGTTCGACGCCTTCTTCGTGCATCTTGAGGACCAATAGTTCGAGATAGCCATGGCCTTTTGTGTTCACCAATGGCCCAAGCTTAATTTATCCCCTGAACAATACCGTTGATCCGAGTCGCCAGATCCAATACGCTAGATGACTATGCCGTATTCAAACTTTTGACGTGCAGGTACCGGATTCGAACGATTCGAGACTCAGAGAAAGACCCCTTTCTTGCTCCCGTGCTCCCTAGCCATGCGAGGGCGATCACTGACGAGGCCTTGCTTTCATGCGGCCATCCTGGCGGGCGATGACATCTATGTAGTAGCAAAGAGACGATCCACGTGGACTTAAATGAGGTCCGATGGAGACAGCCGTCTGCCAGACTACCGCCCGATAGATGATGTGGCAAACTTGACCAAGGAAAATGTCCTTCAAGGCATCGACACGTAGCTCGATCAAGAGGAAGCCTGCTTTTTGCGCAGCAACTTTGCTGTGAAACAATGTGGCATCCTTCCGTATGTCTCTATTCGAACTTTTGGTGAGACATGGGCGGGAGATGTACATTTGACGCCGGCTTCCTGCATACAAAACGGTTTAGCTGCCGTTGCTGCGTTGGCGGCGCCTCGCAGGGCGGCGGCGAAGGATGAGGACGTAACCGTATGCCCCCGATAGATTGACCGATGCAGCTAGTTTGGGCCATCGACCGCGTTGCGCCATCTATGAGGATTTCGTTTGGCAGCAACATGCCACCAGCCTCGGCCATCGGTTGGTAATCGGTATCTGGACTGGAGATGAAGTTGGCAAACAAGTCGGGGAGGCTCGGGTATGCGGACTCCACCGAGACTCGCAGAGCCATCTATTTCCGCGTCTCGGTGTCATTGGAAAGACCAGCCCCATGCTATGCGAGTACAGGTTTACTTGGGTCGCAATGCTGCACGCAGGTGGTGAACGTCTGCGGGCGGCGGGTAGGAAGAGCCGTTTGGAAGAAAAAAAAAAAGAAATATCGCAGTAACCCCGGTTCGTCCGGGGGTGATCGAATCAGTGGAGAAGAGTGGAAGAAGT